TTTTGCTTTTTTGGGTAGGATGCGTGCGAAGAAAAATATTATATATTCTATCAAATAGCCTATTTCTGTTCAAACCTTCATTAAAACCTGGGTCTTCCCCTGCTAACACTTCAGATATGAGTAAATCACCAGAACAATATAAAATAATAAAATGGTGTTTTTAAAATGTTTCTTCCAGGTTGAAAAACTAGCTGCTGGACTGTTATCCATTGGGATTAAGAAAGGCGACCGACTGGCATTGTGGAGCAACATGCATATGGAGACCCTACAGTTTATTGCTGCAGCAAGATCCATCGGCGTTATTACTGTATTTATGCAACAGCATGTCTAGGGGATAGGCCTATAATTTATACAAAATTTAAATAGATAATATGCTTAGTTTGTTTTATTGACATTACATTATTGTTTACAGGTACGCATTTTGCAGACTTTCTCAAATACTAGCGTGAAAGATCTTTTGCTTCTAGTGAGTATATATTATTTCCATTTCCTTCATGTCGGTAGACAGACTACTATAAATAATGTATGATCAGCATTTAATAAGAAATTAGTCATTTTCCATATGAGGGAGTTTTCGGTTTGCGTGACAACATTATCCTCTGTGACTGTCCTCCTACGTGTTCCCTGCACAGCGTAGATGATTTGTACTGGGCGCTGATTGGGGAATTTGCTATTTTGTCGACAAAATATCATTTTGTCGCGACAAATTGCTATTTTGTCAACAAAATCTGAATATTCTGTTGATGATTTTGTAAGACAGAATTTATTTTGTCATTGTAAAATGCTATTTTGACGAAAAAATGGTATTTTGTAAGACAGAATTTATTTTTTGTCACAACTAAATTTTATTCTGTAGAAAAATGACTTTTGTAAAAGACAGAATTCATTTTTTCGACAGAAGCACCTTTTGTGTGAGGCCGAACGCCTCTTCTTTGTTTTAATGACGCGCTGATTATTTAATTGACTGTAATTCTTTATCGCTGTACATTAAAAAAAATATGATTTTAAGCTGTGATTGATTGAAATCGTACCTTGTTCATTGCTAGGCCATCCAAGGCCCAGGGGTAACAATACAACAGTAATGAACCAACTAAATACTTCCTACTGTGGACTCTATTCTTTTGACTATAACTATATATTATATTATGGTTATGACTAACATAAAATTAAAATGGTTGCATGGAATCGTTTATTTTGATCACAAATGAATGTATCAGGGCAATCCGTCAGGCAAGCTAGGCATACACCACCGCAGCACACTATCAAGAAGAGCTCATTTGCATATAACCTCGTTCTGTCTCAGCTCACACAAAAGGTGCTTCTGTACATAGAATATATTTTTTTTAAATTCTGTCTTTTACAAACATCCGTTTGTTAACAAAAAAGCACTTTGGGGCTACAGATTAATTTTGCCTCAGAAAAGCTGTTTTGTCAACAAATAACATTTTGGTTACAAAATTGATTCTGTCCTACAAAAATACAATGTTGTCGACAAAAATAGCATCTTGTGGTGACAAAATAAATTTTGTCTTACAGTACAAAATAGCATTTTGTCCACAAAATCATCATTTTATAGTAATTTACTAACAGAATAAATTTTGTCGACAAAACAGAATTTTGTCCCAATAAAATCAATGCTAAAATAGCATTCTGTCTCAACAAAATGGTATTTTGTCAACAAAACTGTAATAAGATGAAGCCCCGTAGATTTGGGCTACTCAAAACGATAATCCAGCGTCCGCGACGGGGATTGAATTCTAGGTGACGTCATGTTTCAGATTTTAAAATGTATCACATTCAATAACATTCATTCAATAACCCCGGAAAGACGATAATTTGGGCCGTAATCTATTTCATAGTTAATATGATATTTCTATACAAATGCCGTTACTAATAACTGCTATTATTATTATTATTATTAATATTTAATGATGATGATGATGATAATGACTATATGATGATGATGGTAATAAATAACATTATTAATTAAAACATGAAATTAGGCTTACATTATATTTTAGCATTGTTATTTTCATTATTTCATTGTATTTTTTAAATGTATTTACAATTTACATTGACATTTTCAAGAATTTATATTTTATTTGTATTATCATATAATGGTAGGCCTAATAATCAACCAGTCAGTCAGTCAGTCTTTCAATAATTCCATCAATCAGTCAATCACATCAATCAATCAATTAATCAAGTTTTATACCACATATATTTTTTATGATTAAAACATAAAGCTTATGATTATTAGTAGTTCTCATAATGACCTGCTCATTTGTATGAACAATTATTTGCAGACGGGTTGTAAAGTGATTGTATTAGGAAGGACCCCCAATAACCTGTTTGATAGATTAGAAGACATCAGAACAATAAGTGCTGAAGGTGTAACGAAGTAAGCTCTTGACATAAATAGTTTCAATGCAGAAACGTACATACGCATAGGCCTACTACACACGCATACCCACATACCTCTCCACATCGCATTTGTTACATCAAGACTGGATTACTGCAATGGATTACTGTTTGGCTCTCCGAAAACTGCAAAGAATACAAAATTGTGCAGCAAGAATCATCACTAAAAAAAGGCATGAACATGATCACACCTGTCCTTAGTAACTTAGTAACAAATTGTTTTTGATATACTTTTATTGATAATTAAGACCAGACTTCATAATACACGGCAGTATTTAATGAATCTGGAACAGCCATACCACCCAAAACGCTCTAAGGTCTGCATCGAAGACCCTCTTTGTAGTACAGACGTTTAGCACACCGGCATATGGCAGCTGTTCTTTTCAGTTGCCTCCTTACAATTATGGAGCAATTACGTCACAAAACCAAAACACATACAAACACTCTCTCATTATGAGGCTAGGGAGTGGAGTGAATTTGGTCATGAGAAACATCCTGTTACCGCGACGTTCAAAAATTGAACCACGACTCTGGGATTGGAAAGTAAGCGTCTTAGCCACCGAGCTATTCAACTCTACTCCAAATATAAGTTCACCAAAGGCAGATCGTTGAGGAAAGTCTGGGTATCGGTTATGCGAAGTTCAACGCACCAAGCGGGAGTGGTGGTAGTTGGGTGATGTTTTCCAGATATTTTGCCTATAAATGCTTGACTATGACGAATGTACATAGAATTTAAATCGAAAATTAGGTGGTTTGGAGAACGTAATCCCCTCTTTCCCCTTTATTCTTCTTTTTTTTTTTTTTAACTTCTTTTTATTTTTTCCTTTTCATTTTGCATACTATTTGGGAAAGCCCTAGCCCTCATGCGCCTCTAGATCCGCCCCTATTTACTCTCCCTGGCCATAATGGACGTAGTTTTGTTTTTGTTTTTCTGGGGTTTTTTTTTCCCTTTCATTATCAGCTTGAAGTTTAATTACAGGTTTTGGTTCGTACGGCAATTTCTGGATTTTGCAGAGTACATTTGAAAAGCATTTTTTCTAAGAAAAAATTTTAAGCAGTTTACAAAGATAGAATCCCAACGTAGTCGGTCAGGCCTTCTATTTCTATCTCTTTCTTTTCAACTGACGGCATATCTATTTCCTTATAGTGGAGCATATGATGTCAATGATATTGAGAAGCTTGGATCGGATCCTAAAAGTGTTGAACTATTCAAGATCAAAAAGGACGAAGTTCTTTTTGATGATGACAGCGACATTTTCATTACTTCAGTAAGATATATACTTTTAATAATATACTTATAAATACAGGTAATACTGTTTTTAACGCTAATGATCCAAACTGTTTTAAAATTAAAAATTTGAGGGCCGGGCCGGTAAATTTATAACGAGGCCAAAATACCTGTTCGAATTTCGTCAGATACTAAACAATCAAATAGGCAGCCATTGCCCAGAGCTAACCTCAATAACCTAGTGGTTATAGTATCTGTCTGTTAGCAAGATTATGCAAAAACTAATGAATCGATCATCTTAAAATTTAGTGGAATGGTACATAGTAATCGAAGAAAGACACCATTCATTTTGAAAGGAAAGGTCAACAGACACAGTTAAAGTCACGAAAACTCGATTTTTAATTAACCCTCAAGCATAAAAGAAAAGAATGGAATCGCCTCTCGTATTTAGGTAGCATGTGCCTGAATGCGACGGGCGGTTCCATTATTTTTTTAGGGTATGCTACAGCACTCAATAAAAAACAATGTGCCTGAATACAACTGGCGATTCAATTATTTTCTTGTCGATATGCTGCAGTTTCGCCCATAATATACGGCCTGCGTATCATTAGTATTAGGCGCAGGGCGGATTTATGCACTCTATGGAGTGACTGCTCAAGTTTCTAATAGTGTCCATATTTAGCACGCAGATGTATATGAATTAAATACGCTGAAGTCTATCCACACTAATAAACTTCATCTGACAAATACCTGTAATTTGCATATAGTTTGGTATGACATCATCGTGTCCATATATGGATGTGAAATGACATCATCATTGCCACATATTGATGTGGTATGCTATCACCAAGTCCATATATGGGCAATTCACGCACATTTTTCACATAAAATTTTGATAGAGTGGATCCTGATATCATTTCTTTAGGGATCTACTGGTAAGCCAAAGTACGTGGTTCACACACATTTCAGTGTGATTAATGGAGTAAAGGGTATGTTGTACTACCTTGAAGGAATGCCAAATAAAGAGGTAAGTGAGAAAACTGGGGGATCACTAACTTGTCTGTAGATTGAGTATATTAAATCATTGAAGCTCTGTCCAGAGAGGGTCCAGATTATCAAATTTTCTTTGACAGAAAACTGTTGCATGCCCATAATCAATAGGGAGCTTTCAATTTGTGCGACGACGCGACACTTGAACGGATTAACTCATGCGTGACCGTCCTAACTGGCGTCCTATACGTTCTCTACATACGTATATTTGTCCTAATCGCGTTCCAAAATTTACAAGACGAGGTGACCTTAACGTTCTCGCATGCGCAGATGACTTTTAGTGACGTCATTACGTTCTAAAATTGGTGACACGTGAAATTAAATGTTTTACAACAATTTCTAATGTTTTTAACCTTTTTCTGAATGTCTGTGCAGTATGTGTATTGTTAATTAACAATTAATCATTTGATATTGTTATATTACTGTTGTGTACATTGTATCATTTAATACAATCTTCGACTGCGATTTTGATATCGAATAGAATGAAATGAAATGAAATTGCAATGGTGGGTTCATGAATTTTAAATATAGGGGCCAGGGAGAGACTTCCACAGATGGAGGGTGTAAACCACCTCAACCACACCATGGTTGGGGCTAAGGGAAGAACATTTATGGTAATGGCATATACGTACTCTAACCTAAAGAAGGAAACATAATGTTAAGGTGCCACACATATCTGAATGACTAAGAGAATTACAGGTTAGGTTTAAAGACGCAATAAACCAATTCGTGGTTTAAACTGCGCATGTGCGTATCCCGTTGTATCCAAGGTCGATCGACATAACCCTATGTTCTGTGTAATGTTTGTTTATGTCGATTGACTTTGACAAGAGGGAAAGGATCGAATGAATGACAGAAGGACATATTTATTGTATGTGTTCATACCTTTTTCTGTACTAGTAAGGCCTAAAAGTTTTGGAAATGCTTTCTGTCAGAATCGAAGAATTCTTGGGCTTAATACACTAGCTCATGTTAGTGGAGAAGGAAGTGGGGTGATGCCCCCATTGGTGGCTTCTATGACGTCAGTGTTTGCGCCATCTGTGTACAACATAAAACAGATTGTGCAGACAATTCAAAATGAAAGGTACTGGTATCCATTAGTTAATTAATTAAATAAGCAAATAATTATATTCCGATGGTGTTTTAGTTAAGAGATTATAGGAATAGTGTTTTGCCCTGCTCGACGTGCTAACTTAGATCTACTAAATGCTCAGTACGTTCCCAAATACTGAGGAAAACATCGGAAGTGATTCGGCTTGGAATCGAACCCACGACTTCCAGATAACTAACCCATGGTGTCTTAACCACTAAATCACCGAACTTGTGCTTCGTGGCTAGTGTTGAATCTGATCCCCAAGCAGCAGTTGGTAGTGTAATGTTATTTCGATGGTGTTTTCGTCAGGAGATTTAATAGGGAAGGTTTTCGCCCTTACGTGACGTGTTATCTTACGGAATGTTCAGTAAGTTCCCAAACACATGCGAAAAAATTTCACAAGTGGGAATAGGAAAATAAGATTTTGCCATACATGACGTGTTATCGTACGAAATTCTCAGTACGTTTCCAAATACTTGCAAAAAAAATTCACAATTAATTCGGGTGGGAATTGAACCCACAACCTTCAAATAACTAGCCTGGTATCTTAACCACTAGCTAGACCATGCATTCCTATTACATTTCCTGGCAGAAACACCAACAGAAACACCAAAAGCATCCTACAAATAATTATGCATTCGGATATCCGTTATGATCCTTTTCAATCAAACATATCTTAATACAGTATTTTTTGTTTTTAAAGTTCGATTCTTTAATTCCGAAGGTGTACTGATGTGCTCTTCTTAATTACTTATCTATACGACATGTTGAACTTCAAGGACATCGGAGAATATGATGTAACCTCTCTCGATATTTGTACGTAACTATTAACTTAATTGGCACCTATTTCCAATAAAAAGGAGATGATATTAATAAATAATAGTTATTTCATCGCAGCAATGTTCTTCTTCAAATAATTAGGTTTAACCGGAGGATCAAACATCCCTCCAAAAATGGCGAAGGACTTTGAAATTAAAACACTAGTCCGTGAATTTGTCAACAAGATCGGAGATCTAAAGATGCAATCTCTACCGTGCATCAATGGCGGCCCGCTGGATCTCTCCCTACCTAAGGGTCTGTGATTATATAAATAAATAATAGTTCTTTCATCGCAGCAATGTTCTTCTTCAAATTATTAGGTTTAACTGGAGGATCAAACATCCCTCCAAAAATGGCGAATGACTTTGAAGAAAAATGTGCTTGCAAAATTCTGGTAAGTAGAGTTTTGTTTGTGTATAGATATCTTCAAATGTACGAGTATGTGACTGTAAAATATTACCATAGTATAAATCTTAAATTCTGACAGCACAATTTTTAACTAGGCCTAAATCACATTCAATAAATTCCAGATAGCGTATGGTTCAACTGAAATGATGGTACCTATTATAAGCTCTCCGTTGGACCCATTCGCTACGCGGAGTACTGGAGTTCGAATATGGCCAAATGCAGAGGTAAATGGGTACAGTGCCTCCACGCAGTTTTCAACACTTAAACATTTCCCAAACATAACTTCTCACATGATACTGATTATGTTTGTTAATTCAACTTCTAGATACAATTGGTTGATGATGACGGAAAGTGTGTACCTGTTGGCAGTAATGGTGAAATTTGGTGCCGCTGTTGTAGTAACTTTCAGAGATACATGGGGAATGATGAACAGACGAAAGCAGCTAAATCGCCCCACGGGTGGTTTAAAACTGGGTAATTAGCTCTGGGCCCGATATATAGACGGCCGTCGGCTGACGCTGTTCCCATAAAATGAACGCAATCCTACTGGCGCGTGCAACGGCGTCGATCACTTTGATAACGATTCGCTGTGATTGTCGCCAGTGAGAATCCATTCTATAGCGGGGCTGGTTGCATCATTTTTTATACTTTTGTTAATATTTTTTGAAAAGTAGATGCAATGGCAAATAAACTAACTGAGGGATAACATCAGATTGACATGACATACTACTAAAAGTAAAATCATAACAGATAAGTTAATTTTTATAGAAATATTGAGGGTTGAATACTATTTTTAGCTCTGACGAGGAGCTCTATGAATACCCGGCTGATTTTATTAATAGATCTTTCCTTAATAGATCTTTCTGTATGGGCGGCCGTTAGGGCCAGTCTCTAATGCATCTATTATACTGCCCTCATCGAAGCTTTCGAAATTACGAAACTTTTTTTTAAAAGATGTATTGTCCTTTACTAATGTCAAAAAATCATTAAAAAATAATTTTAAAATAAACTTGCTCATATTGCAATAGCATACAAATTATTAAGTTATGCATAAAAAATATGAATTTAAAAAATGTGTACCCTGATTTTTAAACCAAAAAAATAAAATAAAAATAATAAAATACTTCCAGTAACTTGAATTGTTTCTATCATTTTCCCCGTAAACTGATGAATAGACATTGTTTAAATACATTATGTAACTTTTATGTTACTTCAAAATGGGCAAGTTAATTTCAAAAAATATTTTTATGATTTTTTCTGGTATTAGCAAAGGACAATACATCTTTAATGATGGAAATTGCCCCGTTCGAGGGACAAGTTGCACCATTAAAAAATCAACATATCTTTTTTTAATATCAACTGAACCTCTAGCAGAATTATATAAACAACACAATATATTTTGACGGCCAACTTTCAATACTATAACTTTGATAATTACCCAAAAAAGAATAACATTATGGTGTGTGTTCTAAAGCATGGATTTCAATTTTCTTGACAAAAATGGTATACCCTACATAATCATCGCCCCCATACCCTTATTTAACCTGTTCACTAATCTGTTGAGTGTGCTACACTGCTATATAATGCACATTGTTGGCCTTTGCGACACTTGGCACAGGCAGTCTCTCGGTATTAAAATTTTGCTTGCCTCTGGCTTGTTCTGGGTCCTTTAATTTTTCTTTGGAAAGTATCGCCTCACCATTGTTCAAGTATTGTATCTGTTAAAATATTTTTTTTTTTAAAGATAGTACAGTAATTAATCAACATTATCCTAGTGCATTTATATAGGCTATACCAAACCAATGCATCAGGATTTTATTTACATGGATAAAAATAACGATTTCTTTGTTAAAATATTCAAGCTTTACTGGATCACGTCAAACTTTTGTGAGCTATTAGGCGATGGGTGTGGTTGCCAGAGCCCAACATGTTCATATTTAAAGAAAACACCTGTGATGCAACTTTCCCCCGATACAACTAGCCCCGCTCTCCCCACTCTTTGCTGTCACAGACAGTCAGATTTCGTCGTGTAGTTATGCACTCAAACAAAACGGATATGATTTCATCTGCCGATAGTCGTTGTCGTACTATAGTCGTACATCGCAGTGTGTCCGGTTTCAATTTTTTCCTAATCGAAATGTACGTGAAAAATAACTAGCAATCAACATCGTCATCGTCATCATCATCATCATCTTCAATCTTCATCATCATCATTATTTACAATAGTTAAATCATGAATATGTAAATAAATTTCTATTATGTAATATTTATAATAATCTTGATATTTACTTTAGTGACATTGGTGTTTTTAACGCTGCTGGTGTCCTGTCAGTAGTCGGGAGAAAAAAGGTAATACTGTATATTTAAAATAGCCACATTGACAATGTCATTGTCAATGAAGAAGTATCCCCAAACAAAATGGACCTTTCTGCAAGCCCCGCCCTTGGATGCTAGGGAGCTTTCGATTTGTGCGACAATGCGACGCTAGAACGGAATCACTCATGCTTCGGCGTCCTACGTTCTTGCATACGTAGATTTGGCCAAATTGCGTTCCAGAATCTACTCGACGAGGTGATCACCTTAACGTTCTCGCATGACTTTTAGTGACGTCATTACGTTTTGGTCCTATCGTCGTCGTGCAATCGAAAGCTCCCTATTGTTGGTAAGTGCCACAAAACGAGCGCGTAAACATACGTAAACAAGTGCTTATGTGGGCACGTGACGTGTGGGTTTGGGACCAGCGTGTGTTGCTGGCGCTCTTCTGATTGATCGATAGCTACGTTTGGTCGACACTCCAGAAATGTCTATTATTTATGTCTAACCCCTCACACTTCAAGTAATCCGGAACCCTGCACAGATCCAAATAAGTGGCGTCGGAGCTTGCACGACGGGGTCCGAAGATGTCGCCGATGGGTGGAGGCTGGTATATGCGACTGCTGAAGGCAGATTTTCCCGGGAGCATACATGGGCGGAGTCAGGGGCAGCTGCCAGAACCTCTCATCTCAGAGGGGGCCCAGGGGGAAAAGTCCAAGAAATTTATGGATGATTTGAAAGGCTTGTTTAATCAATTTTAGAGTCCCACATTCTGTATATTATTTTACACCGACAAATTGTTTTTTTTTTCCTGGCGGGAGTGGTGGGGGTGACAGCTCTTCTCGATGGCGCTACAACCCCGAGTACACATACATGTAGTGTATCGGTATATACAAAATAAACATTTACTTTGCATTAGACTATCGTTCAATAGAATTTTATTTTTGTTTACACAGGATATCATATCCAAGGGTGCTATAAAGATTTTTCCCGCCGACATCGAGAACGTTCTCTCACGTCATCCATCTATTGACCAGGTTCAGGTTGGTAATATTATCCCAATGAATTTTCTTTATCTTGTTTGCTCCTTATAATCTGTTGTGGGCGTGTCTACATCTACAAATTGACATGAAATAGTTTGGTGTACCTAGATGTAACAGCATTTTGTAAATCTATAGCATTTCAAGGACGAAATATACGGCGCATTTGCCTCTTTTTTTACCCAACAAGCACTTATTAAGATTGTCCATGCATTCATCACTTGTAGGTTAGACTATTGCAACAGCGTTCTATATGGCCTTCCTGATAAATTAATCTCAAAATTGCAGCGTGCTCAAATATGTCTGCTAGACTTATTTCAGGAACTCCACGTTTTCATCATATCATTCCCATTGTGAACCGACTTCAATGGCTTCCTATCAAACAAATGATAGTTTTTAAGATAAATCTCATTATACAAAGCTCTTCATGGTCTTTCACCTGTGGGCATATAAACGTTGCGACATGCTAAATCTTCGCTCGATGTCATGTATACGGTCATTGCGATAGTTCAACTAGCAGTTATGTACTTACCAGACGATTTTCTATGCTGAAATCCTATAGTGATAGAGCCTTTAGTGTTGCTGCACCTATCCTTTGGAACCATTTACCAACTGATATAAGGGAAGCTACAAGTATATATTCAAAAGCTCAAGAAATTACTGTTTCTTGATTTGCTGACCTCTGACCCGAAACCTTCATTTATAAATTATGAGAATAGTTTAACCAATTATTTAAGTTAGTTTATTTTATTGACAAAAAGGATCGACGTTTCGTGTCCATCATGGACGCATTCTCAAGATCAAGTGAACAAAAATAAATATAAGATAGTAAACCAAGTGTAGGTGACATGACTACAATCCTGTGACTGTTAATCCCTTTCATGTCACCTACACTTGGTTTACTATCTTATATTTATTTTTGTTCACTTGATCTTGAGAATGCGTCCATGATGGACACGAAACGTCGATCCTTTTTGTCAATAAATTTTGTGTTATAGTTTATTTTAGCGTATGTAAGTGTAGATAAGATTATAGTGTCCAAGGGTGACGTTATAAACTGCATCCGTTCGAGTCGTCGGCGAGTATTATCCCATTATTATTCCTTTTGATAATACAATTTCATGTGTATGTGTGTGTATATATGTATGTATACATATATACATATGTGTGTTTATGTATATGTATGTATACATGTGCTGCGCACATACATGGATACGCATGTATCTATTTTTAATGCAATGTAAATCTTAATGTAACTTAATGTAACTTATTGTGAATTGAGTAGTGCTTTTTACGCCAAATGGAACTTGAATTTCCATTTTTATTTGGACAATAAAGTTTATCTTATCTTATCTTATCTTATCTTATCTTATTCCGGCAAGCCCATCTGGTGGCCTTTAGCGGCCGCCGGTGGCAGAGTGGATGGACACCCAGCAGCATGAAAAGAAACAGCTGAACAAAGGGCGGATGAACTCCTCGGAGCCAACGGCCCACCATGCCTTAGTTTAAGGAGTAGGTTTTTTAGTTCATAAAACTTTTTTCAAAAATGTCAAACTCAAAGAGCTCAATCACCAAGTGCATAGAGGCTTATTATTATTATTATTATTATTATTATTATTATTATTATTATTATTATTATTATTATTATTATTATTATTATTATTATTATTATTATTATTTATTATTATTATTATTATTATTATTATTATTCTTATTATTATTATTATTATTATTATTACTTGGGTACGCTGTGTAGCGCATTCCCTTCCACTTCACCTTCGGACCGCCCTCTCCACCTCATCCCCCATACTTCACCTTCGCGCCTTCCCCTACCCCATCCGGCTCCCATTCCAATAGTGACATAAATGGATCCAGAAATAGGTCCAGTAGTACCTGTTTCGCCCTGCCCCGAGTATAGTAGTAACACACGTGTCTGCGCTGTCGTAGGACCGTAGCAACAATATCTAAGGGGCGGAGCTTAGCGGAACGCTGAATTGTGTCATTTTTGTTTTCGTTGATTCCTATGGTGAGTGATTTAATGTTTGCTATTTATTGCTTAATATTTGATAGGTAATTGGGGTACCGGATGATCGCCTATCTGAAGAAATCTGTGTTTGCTTAAGGTATGGAAGACTATTATAATCATTATGTAATTTTAATACAGTGGAATCACTGCGCATTAGATACTACATTATGTCATTATTATAACTATATAAAAGTTGTTTGTATTATAGTTACAAGTATTTATTTTATTTATAAAAATAGGACAAAGAAGAACGCCATCGTTGACAAAGACCAGATTGTCTCTTTCCTAACTGGAAAGGTGCGTAAACTCAATAACGACGTTATCTTGTGTGACCTTAATCATAATTGTCTTATGTTAGATCGTACAAATAAATTTAAACGTTTATTTCAAAACGTCATTAAGAGCAAAAATGCCCGCATGTTATATTCTGTCTCTTATACACATCTAGATGTGAGTTTATTTATTTACTTATTTTTGCTTATGGAAAATTAATTTCTTTTATTAGGTGAGACTCGAAGAAAGTGTTCCTGGCTATGTGTTGATTTTTGACAGTTTTCCAAAAACGATTACTGGAAAGGTAAGATTTCTCAAAATTTTATGATTACTTTTTATTTATATTACTTTATTTTCAATCCGCCGACAAAGAAACAGCAAAATGAGTTTAACGGGGTTGGAGAAAAAGCAAATTAAACAAAAGTCTCTCATCAAGTGTGCTTACCTAAGCCACTACCTACAAATACAAATGGAATAAGCATGCTAATTATATTGATTTTTCAGATTGACCGTATGGTTCTCACAAAACAGGCCATAGACCGAATTCAGAGTAAGGTACAATTAACGGAGTAACAGGGAGCTGCGGTCTATGGAGTTATAATAACATTCATGTCAATTAATTAACATTCATGATGTCAACACAACGTTGGAAAAACCATTGCAACGTTATTTCTAAGATATAAAAATTATAAAATTACATGTATAAATCTTAGATATTATATTATAAATACTTAACGAAATTTGGGATTTTCCTTCGGGCCACCAAGGTAATTGCAAATGTACAAACTCACAGAGGAAGTGGATCAGTCAATTAGATTGACCCTCCAATGTTTGTTTTGGGCAAGAAGTGCAAATTAACTACATAAGTTGAGTACAGTTTCGGTTCAAGTAGACTTCCCACAAGTCCCTTATGTTTTTTTCTCATTCTGGACAGCACGCCACCAACGTAAAAGTTAATTTAGAGACAAAGACAGGAATTGTAAAACACTGAATGCAAGTACCAGGATGTCAAAAGAATGTGATAACCTTATATTCCATATTTGGATAAATGACTATTTTGACCAATCACAATGTTCATATTTTGGCGGAACCACCAAACTGAGTCACTCGCGGCGACTAGTTAGGCAATACTAAAAAATAGTCTTTCCTAATAAAACAGGCCTAAAATATTTAGCATAGGCCCTAGTAAAACTAGTGGGAAATTGCAAAAAAATTTAAGTTTACCTAGAATCTTCATTTGTACCAAAAAATGTCTTAAAATTGAGAAAATAAAATTGTCCTAAATTTGAAGAGAAAATGATAATTGAATACCAATACATTATAAAATCCATATTACAATAATGGTGCATGATTCCTGATGATGACATAATTAATGTTGAAATATTGAATCCCGACACGATGGCGTATCTTTAGATACTTGGAGTATGTAATATACTGTACGATCCGATTATTATACTGTACAATTCTAACTCACGACATCTAGGACAGTGTCAAGTCATTAGTAATCTACAGTTCTTGCTGAAATCCCTGTTTTGTTTTGTGGGGAACTCTGGGTTCAACTTAAAAGAAGGCCATAAACGTTTGTTGGGAATCACCTCTAGTTTACGTGTACAAAACTTCAAGCATGTCCGTTCAAAACTGGTGGCGCTTTTAAAAACAAGCGAGGTTCTAGGGTCCGCTTTGCGCGGACCCCTCAATAAAGGAGTCGAGTATTAGATGCCAATTAAATTAGGTATGGCGCGCACTAAGCACAGTAAAAGTTTGAGTAACCCAAAATTAGCACCAGCAACCCAGACTAGGATTTTAAGAGGGGGAAAGAATGATGCTTGAGAATTCGTCAGGAGAAAAACGGGGTGATCCATAAAATAAGAGTACCTAGTTAGTTAGTTGATTGGGATTCTATGTGTCTGCCTGTCTTATTTGGGGTTTCAGTGTCGTAGTAATAATAAAGTGTGAATGATCACTGTTGAAATTTATTTAATTATTCGAGGATACATACTGAATAGAGTTTGACGCGCTTAGAGTGAGAATCTTGAGTTCTTTTGTTTTTCAAAAGTCCAAGGCCCAGAGCTCTGGCTGAACCAGTCATCCTGACAAAGGACCCGTTCCGTTACAATACGTTATACAACCCATATTACAATAATGGTACATGATTCCTGATGATGACATAATTAATGTCGAAATATTGAATCCCGACAAGACGGCGTATATTTTGATACTTGGAGTATGTATTATACTGAGTACTATCTGGAGCATGATGTTCATGTATAGAACTTTAAATAGATTTTTTTTAAGTTAGATTATGGAGTGTTTTTCTAGCGTAAATTTGTATACATTTTCAATAATTTTAATGATTATTTTCGTTAATAATAAATAATATAATTTTCCAATTCTGGTCCCACTAATTTAACAAGACCAATTTGGTGTCCTGTGGGTTTATTATGGTTATTTTATGCATTTTATTGGGTTTTTTTTGTATAAAAAAACAAAATTTTCATTGTATTTTCATTAGAATTAAGTTGGTTCTAAGTGTGTGTTTGACGATTTTAAATTATAACAATTGGTGTTAATGGGAATTCTATCTTTTTATTAATATTTGAGAAAGTCTGTGGCTTTACGGAACGCATATTGACTGATACAAACTCGTTAGTTCAAATGTGAGAGTTTTTGCTGTATTTTGTGTTTTTCTGGGATGATATAAGACAAATTCTCCTTGCATAATTTTCTTTAATCATGGCATTTTTTTCTTTCTTTTTTTTGTTATTCCATTGCTTTTACTCCTTTATTCTATTTTTTGTTGTATGTTTAACATGGACTTTTGTCAATTTGTCTGAAATAAAAGATTGAATTGAATAAGTTATACGTCTCATTATACGTGCTTCACTCATGCCTCGTTAAAGTTACGACCTACAGATCTTTCCGCAAACGTTTAATTCATGTGCTATAGGCGTAACCATGATGCGTATTGCTATGACCTTGGCTGTGGTCATTGCATTGGCATCAGGATCAAGAGGAACTGAAGCTGCCCACTATAAGCTATCGTTAATTTCTAAGCTACCTTAAAGTCTGGCTAAGTTGTAACCTGATTTTGTAAGACACTGAATCCGAAGACTTTTCATCATGAAACATCCCTTCAGTGTCTTAACTATCACACTTTATGTGACAAATAATTAATAACACACCCATATTCAGGTGCAATAAAGCATCGCCATGCCCATATATTTAGGCACATCACATTTATTTGTCGCATAAAATCTGATAGTGCGGACGGAGCTTTAGAAAAAAAAACAGTCAAGTACAACCAAAGGTATGCCTACTAGCAATGCAAGATCGAGCACTCGCATAGCAAAAATTAGGCGGAAATTGGTTCAGACGTACGCGGCGCCCTTCTCTTTCTATAATGCAGGTTTTCTATAGTTGGTCCAAACGTATAGGGCGCCCTCCTGTTGCTAAGATCATCCCAAAACGATATAATACATTTGTCCAGTGAAAGTGATTTGCAACTATTTCTTGTAAAATGATTATGATTTTCATTATCAAATGTAAAATACGATTTTTTTCAAGCACATTTCCATTTAAACACTATATACTAAAGATGATCGTTTAAGGTGAAATACATCATTAAGGTTCAGTCAACCAAGTGATGTGAACATTTCTTTAGAAGATGTGAGAAATCGAGATTATTCATACCGTAGAACCACTATTAAGGGAACATCTCATCGACCAAAAGGAGTGTCCCCTTAATAGAAATGTATTCAGCGGACACTAACAAAAAGTTGTAAACTGTCCCTTAATACGGGTTTTGACCTACGAATGAGTTTCTGTAACTAATTTATAACAATAATTGGGTAATGAAGCCGTGTTAGTCTAAACAATATACAAAGAAAATTAAAATGCAGTACTCTGAGACTAACTTAGATGCCAGCTTCATCAGGTGCCAGCTTCACCTGATGAAGCTGGCATTGACTGCCAGCGAAAGCTTGTGTTAAATAAATAACATCTAAGTTAGTCTCAGAGTGCTGCCTTTAAATTTT